TTTAAAGGATTTCATGTATTCATAGTATGGATGCCTACACCTAGCATTTTTGGAGCATTTCCTAGGTTCCAGTCTGCTGGCTAATGGCAGCATCTGCCAATGTCTCTAGCCACCCCTTATGATCCTCAGACTTCTTCACTGGTTTTATTTTATTTAAAAAATACTTTTAGTTGTAATTGGACACACTTTTTATTTTATTTGTTTTTATGTGGTGCTGAGGATCGAACCCAGGACCTCGCACGTACTAGGCGAGCACTCTACCGTTGAGCCACAACCCTTGCCCTTCTTCACTGGCTTTATTAACATGGAACCACCTGTAATTTCACACTCAAATCGCTGTTCTGCCCTTCTCTGCATGTATGCATGGAGAAACTTTTTTTTTTTTTGGGCCCCTTTTTGTTTTGGTTTTCAGTTTTCTTTCAGGGTTCTTAGTTTCAGGCTTTGTTTTCAGCTTGCGGTGCTCTTGGGAGGTGGTGGAACCTTTAGGAGCTGGGGGCTAGTCGAGGACTTTAGGTCATTGGGGGTGTGCTCTGAAAGGAGATATGGGACCCTGGCTCCTATCTTTCTTTGCTTCCTGGCTGTTTTGAGGTGAAGAGTTTCTCCACCACTTGCTGCCTGCCACAATAACAGGCTAAGCAAGTGTGGACTGAAGCCTCTGATACCACGAGCCAAAATAAATCCTCCCTCCTCTTAAATTGCTTGTCTCAGGTGTTTTGTCACCTACCCTTTTGCCTTCTCCAATCTGTCAGACTTGGCCCTGTGTAGACCCTATCAGCATGTCTTAACCAGGTGCGGCCTCCTCTTCTCCCTGTAGATCTGTGAGATTCACCGGGACTCCACATACCAACCCAGGTGGCGCTTGGAAATCCTCTCACCCAGGGTGAACCCAGCCACCCAACTTCTGCCTTCATTGCTAGAGAAAATCCTGGAACAAGGCAGATGGAAATTCCTGATCACCCCTCACAGGGCCTTCAGCCTTGCCTAGGAATGTTCCTGTTTCTCTGTTTATAGTGATTTTTTTTCTTTCATTTGACTTGCTCTCCAAGTTTGTTCACATGATCAAACTCTCTGGAAGTGACCTTCAGCCTTGTACTTTCTGGAAAAAATAAACATGTGGTAGCAACTCCCTCAGCTTTTCCTCATGAAGTCTACAAGCCCACTGGGATTGGCACCTGCTAGAAGGGAGGGAAATACTTGATTCCTGTGACTGGGCAACTCTGCATGAAGTTTAGCATTACCTGCCTTCCCCTGGTAGAGTTACCTCAACTTCCTTTTCAGCAATCGTCGTCTGTTCCGTCATTCGTGGTCATCGTTCTGAAAGAGAACTGTTCCACCAAATGCTCTTGCCTTTTAGTCATGAATCCCTGCAGCTGTGCCCGTTCCTCACCTTTTTGTGGAGGTCTCATTCCTCCTCTGATTTCTCTGCAGCTCCCACAGCTTTCTTCATTCATCCTGTGCCCTGGTAGCTGCTTCTCAGTCTCCAGAGTCATTTTCCTAATCTTCCTTTCCTGATGTAAGTGCTTGGTCCTGGGACCTTTCCTTTCTTCTCTCACATCTTGCCCATCTACTTCCATGATTTCAAATGCCATGCACCTGTTGGTGACTACTGGATTTCTGCCTCTGATTTGGACTTGTCTCTTCCAGGCTGTGGGCCATGCCTCTGACACTATGATGATCATCTTTTGGATGATTCTTGGCATCTCACATTTAATGTGAGCTCTTAGTACATTCTCCCAAGCTGCTTTTCCTCATAATATTTCTTTTTCTAGTAGTATTTGTTTTCTGTTGCTGTGACAGAATACCCGAGAGAAACTACTCAAATGGAGGAAATGGGTGGGTAGGGCAGTATGTGCTTCTAGTGCCAGCTCCATGGGTGTCTGAGGCAGAAGGGGAACAAGCTTGAAGCAGGTCTCAGCAATTTAGTGAGGTCCTTTCTTAATATAAAAAATAGAAAGGGCTGGAGATGCAGCTCAGTGGTAGAGAGTCCCCAGTCAATCCCTAGTACCTCTGGTATGTGTGTGGTGGGGTGGGTAGGAGGAGAAAGAAAGGTTTATTTGAGTGTCAAAGGTTTTAGTTCATGGTTGGCTCCCTTGCTTTTGGGTCTGCAGTGGCGTAGTACATCATGGTGGGAGCATGTGTCAGACATACTTCATGTGGCCAGGAACAGAAAACAGGAGGGGGCTGGAGTTGCAGGATCCTCTTCAAGGACGCGTCTTCAGTGCTCTAACTTTCTCCTCCTAGTCCCCACCTCTGAAAGGTTCCTTCACCTTCTGGGAGTGCCCTGGGTTGGCAGCCAAGCCTTTTACATTGGGGGTTACTGTAAATCTAAATTATAACAGTATTATGTTATCAGTTGCTCATATGTAAATCAGAGTGATTCTGGAGATCTCTGCCTTTTCCACATCCAATTCATTACTCATTACTTGGATTCTACTTTCAAATCTCTCTCCAATCTACTAAAAAATTTCTATTGTCCCTACATTTGAGCCATTGTAATCTCTTTCCTGTATCATTCTGGAGGCCTCCTAATGAGAATTTTCCTTCTGGTTTCT